GCCAATCATCGGAAAGAAAAAACGACCGGCCATTGAAATCATCCAGAAAGGATTTCCAAAGGCCTAAATCTGCTTTAACTGACCTTGTTAGACGAATACGATGAAAGGGGGCATTAACACCTTTAGTTAAATCAATGAGACGTCGCAGAAAAGCCCGACCCGGTGGTACGACAGTACAAGCGAAATTAAGCAGACCAATCAAAGATTGAACCTCTTTCAAAGTTGCCTTTCGACGGCAAAGAAATTCGGAAAGAATACTGCGCGTTTTCAATATTTTGTCAGCTGGTAAACGAGCCTCCATCGTATTCGTGTCTAACTCGATGCCAGCAAAAGTCAAAATTGTGGAAGGGCCGATCGTTTTCTCAGGAGCAATTGACACCCCCAAATACTCGCACAGGGACAAAAAAACCCTCAAGGCAGTGCAACATTGGTCGTACGATGTGCCTGCCATTAGGTAGTCATCAAGGATATGAATGAGATGTGGAATGTTACACCGAGTTTTAGCAACCCACTCAAGAGCAGTGCTAAACATTTCGAATGTGCGGCAGGAAGATGCACACCCCATGGGCATGGCTTTATCATAATAATACTTTCCCTGCCACATGATACCTAACAGAGGGTAATCCGCTGGACGAATGGGAATAATGCGAAAAGCACTCTTTATGTCCGTTTTAGCTAAAAAACAGCCTCTGCCTAATTTTTTTATAATGGCAATTGCATCATCCATTGTGAACTTTATCCACACGACTATAAGAAACAGTAGTGTGTTCAGGCGAAATGCCATCATTGATGGACGCCCCTCGTGGAAAGGATAAGTGGTGAATAAGCCGAAACTCGCCTGGAACCTTCTTAGGCACAACCCCCAAAGGAGAAACACGGAAATTGAAAAAGGGGGGTGGGAAAAAGGGCCTACAATGCGACCCGCCACAATTTCTTTCGCAAGTTTAGCACTGACAACTCCAGGGTTTTGATTTGCCGAAATTAAGTTTTTAGAACAAAAAGAGGTGTGACCACCTTCAAAGTGAAGAGGAAACCCATAGGTAAAACCCTCAAACAACATTAAAACAACTTTGACAACATATCCTTGTAACAAAGGCAAAAGGCGATCAATTTTTATTGGGGTTGGAAGTGCGCACACCCGCTGCTGGTTTTGTAATGGTGGTTCTGCCTGAGGGACGAAAATTACAGCTTTTAGCGGAGTGTGCAGCTCCACACTTAAAACAGGTATGCTTGTAAGAACAACCTGTGCACTTAACCCCCTTGTGGAATGCACGGCGCCGGCAGAAACCAATTGGGACAAATGGACCCAACTGCGAGGTACGACCAGAAGGCTGTGCAATATTTGGCCGAGCTGGAGCAATATGTGCAAAACTCTGTGCACGAATCCACAACTCAAAATGAGTTGTGCCCCAAGGCATTTCATGTGCTCTTGTTTGTCGTAGCGATCGAAATTGAGTGTCATAAAATCTCCAATTCGCTCCTCGTGCAGCCAAATCTCGCACAACCTCCGCATACTTCATTAAATCGGGAGCCTCTTGAGGAAATTTACTGGTGTAAACCCCAACAAAAAATCTGGAAGGCTGATGTCCACGCATCAATACTGTATATGGGTTTAATCTTAGAGGATGGCTCTAATGAAAGTGTTGGCACCGAACTTTCACTCTGTGCCAGTGAAAGCTGATATCTTGTTTCACCAAACTCAATAAACTCAATAAACTCATTTGCCCAAATTTTAGTCTTTATTTTGGGACTGACCTGAGCATCAATTGGGATGGTAATAGAATTAAACTGCACATGAGAGCCCGATGATGGTGGACGCACAACCTCCAGATTAACATGCTCACCTGTGAGGTGCTCTAAGGCTGATGTCACTGGCCCCTGCACTTGGGCACCAGACTCAGAGCGACCATTAAGGGGTACCTCCCTGGTGTCAACAACCGCAGAAGGAGTTGGTGACTGTATGGCCGCAACAACTGCCTGGGCAACCACAGATGCAATCCTTGTTACGGTTGCATCTGCGAGATCCGAGACAGCTGTCACAGCCGATGAAGTTGCCTGAGAAGACGCAGCTGTAGCAATGGGAGGAGCTGGTTCCCTTGCTTGAACATGGCTGGATGCACGTCGAGACCAAGGTGTCGATTGGGCACGGCGTTGTATTCTGGTGCTGGGACGGGTGGCTGGCATAGTCTAAAGAGAAACTAGAACAAGCATCTGCAAACATCCTATATATTCAAACCCTCACATCTAGGAGTAAGTAGTCCTGTATCGGACAAGGACATGTAAACACAAGTGACAATAACACATAATCCAATCGTTAATGGACAACACAAGTTTTATTGAGCATGGCATACCACAAAGGTAGCCGAACACACAACTGGGCAAAAGCACTTAACAACATGATGGCAACCCACTGTATATTGAATCCAGCTATGGGCACCTGGAATAACAATCCTGTCCCATGTAGGCATACATTCAGCAGAAAAGCAACAGTGGCCTAAATTTATGCTAACAAGCACGTAAATTCAAAGACAGAACATGACTGTAAAACCAATACAGAAATAACACAACATATAAATACCATAAAACAAACAACATCAACAGACAACAAACTGGACAGATTTACCATCTATGCCAAGCCACTTGTTTCATGAATGGCTACCTCCCAGCTGAATATAATTGCTGAATGCGCAACAGGGGTCACAACAGCCATAACCATGTGTGCACACCCAAATATTCATATATCCCTTGGGCCCAGGGTGATAAACCTGCCATCAAGGAAGGCTATCCAAAGGTGGCAACAAACTTTATTGAACAAATCAGTATACAACAATCAATATGTATAGTATAACAAGTACATATATGGCCATAAAGTCATCAAAGTCATCAAACATTTATAAGTATTGGCCAAAATTTAATACCAAAATTTAATACCAAAATTAGGAAAACAATGCAAAAAACTTGAGTTGGGAAAAGCTGGTAAATTCCCGTGCATGACACATTAACGTAAAAGCGAGAGAGCCTTCAAGATCGCTCCTCGATAGCTTTTATATAAGCTAAACTGTCCATGGGGGTTAGCGTGCACCCCATCTAAGGACAGCAAATTTTTGCCAGCTTTACAAAATGCACGATGTTCCCACAAGAAAACACCAGGCATATTGTCCAGTACCACAGATAAATACTGTCTCAAAAGTGCCGCCTTAGTATTAAATACCGTGTCAGGCGTTTGTGAATGCGGTAAACAACGGTCAATCACCTGACACAAAGCGACAACGCTAACATGCAAATTATCCCTTAACAGTGAAACTAAATCCTCCAAACGTGAGCCCACCGCTTCCGGAGACAAAAAGGATAAGTCATTAGTGCCCAATTCCAAAATAATAATGTCCGAATGTTGACTCTTAAGAAAAGGCAAGTCGTATTGAAAGACCTTGTCAACCGTACGACCGCCTATGCCGTGCAAATATACGCCTGCTGACGAAGCCAAGTTGAAATTTTGTTTCGCACGGGAATCAAAATGACTAACCAAGTCATCCCGCAAACGGCGAACAAACGAATGGCCAAAAACTAAAATCTGTGGTACTGAACCGTTCATATTGAAATATACAATAAACAAGCGATACGATACCTTTATACAGAAAGGAAGACTTGTGAGGACTTGAAAACTTGCCTTGCGAAGCCAAATGTGAATGATCTTGAGCTGTTAACGCTCAACGTTTTTATATAATAGGCCCAAGATGCACGTGAAGCGTGACACGGAAATTCACTGATGTGTTGCAAAATTCCACGGGAAATAAAACTGGTTGAACGAGTTTCCCTGCGACGTTCCCTCCATAACCCCCATTTTGCGTGCTACCCCGAATCCCTAAATATCCCTACAAAATTCCCACGGAAGCAATAAATTGATTATTCGCTGAAGCAAATAACTCCTTTTTGTAACGTTTGCGACGACGTGTGATTTCTTCGACGAGCCGTATAGCATAATTTGTCTATTGAAATCCGATCTGTCTTTGCTCATCGACATTCTGCCCACAATGAAATTTGATATTCCTTATTGTGTAACTTGATAGCATTCGTGACAAATAAAATATGCAATCTTGTAAATATTTCCTGCATGATTTCTGCGTTATTTCTCCGCCCACTCCTTGCTCAATGACAAAACGTACTTAGTCACCCACCTGATTGAAATTTATTGTTACCTCCCAGATTCTGGGATACACGTGACCAGACAATACCAGGGTGTTTTCTCAGCAGGGTGTTTTCTCATCCTAAACGGATATACCCCTCGCACTCTCCCCCACTTTTTAATAAGTGTGTCCATTCGCACTCTGTTCCAACGAAACACGCATGCTATTGTCTATAGGGTGATCAAGCCTAAACAAATCTAAATGCAAGTTGTATCTGTTATTACTAGCGCCGTCCTTGTTTAATGCATTTTCTTTGCATCTTTTATGCAGCATCACAAGTTCAATTTTTTTTTCTTCATAGATACCCAAAATATTAACTAAAGTATCTGATAAACCATCTATTATGCATATGCACAGCTTGGACCGCCGTAGTAGACGGGTGGTTGCCAGTATAAAGGTGGAGTAGGAATCTGGGGAATCGGTTGTGGAAAGGGTAGCTAATTATTGGGAAAACGTTGAGGGTAAAAATGATTGGGAAAAGGTTGAGGGTAAAACGTAGGCATGTTATAATACGGAGGAAAAGGGGAACAAAACATCTCTTGTGGAGGGAACAGTCCTTCGTTTACCATCTGTACACTTGACAAGTAAGGCGGAAATTCTGTCGGACTACCCATTGCATCGTAATTTAGCATGTTAGGTGGCCGTCGCGTCCGCACTGACCGTCGAAGCACGGCTTCCTCTGTTGGGTCTTCGTTCTCGGCAGTGTCTGTACGAGTTGCTGGTTCTTCTATTGGTTCATCGGTATCTTGACCGTGATTATCACCGAATTGTTCCTGTAACCCAGCATCCAGTACTTCACAAGTCTCCATAGTTGTCGCAAGTGGTTCGGCCAAATTTTCTGTTGTTGTTGCAGGCTGGTCAGCATACACTTCAGCAGGAGTAAATCCGCAAAATTCTTCATCATCACTGTCACGTTCAGATTCTTCATATTCCGCACCTTCCCCACTATTTTGAGCCTTCCGTTCATTTCTTAAACGTTCAGGTTTAACCGCTGCTGTAAGATCCATTGAATTATCTGGGGACAAGAAGTCACAAGGAAGGAGGAGATTCTATGAAGAGTTCTTTTTTTGTTCGTGGCTAGGCCCTCGGGTTTAACCACGAATACTGGCATTTCTCCTTTCCACCACCACGTGGTTTCGTATCAGGACTGAGAGGTTTCGCATCAGGACTCGGACTGCTGGCTTTAATTCTGTACAACGAATCTTCTTGTCGTAGTGCTTCTTCCCTATTTCTGCAGACTTTCTGCTGTTTTCCATCGCCTTCGCTTAAGCTTCATTCGTTGCTCCCTTCCATCGTTTCACATACTGTGTGTGGTTTCCAGTGGTTGTGGCAGGTGATAGTCCGAAGAGGAGATCTATTGGTAACTATGGAGGGCGGCCGAATAGTAAAAAGAATGGCGAGAACCCGGTAGCATTGTTCACTGTGCAATTATATGCATGAACGACCTTATTTATCGACATATATGCCATTTGTTTTTCTGATTTTCTGGTAAAGTCCTTAACATAGCCAGTAACGTTCGATTGAATCGTTTAGCCTTGCCGTTGGCCTGAGGATGGTAAGGTGTTGTTCGACGTCGACAAAGTCCAGTCAGCTTTTCTAACTGATGGAACAGATTGTTTTCAAATTCTCTACCTTGATCATGTAGTATATGATCAGGGAAACCAAACTGAAGGATGAAGTCATTATACAGTTTCTCTGCTGCGGTTGTACTCGATTTATTTCTAGTCAGATATGCTTGTGCAAAGCGAGTGAAATGTTCGACGATAACCAATATGTATTCATATCCGCCAGAACGTTTCTCGAGATGCAACAAGAATGGGACAAACCAGTTTCACGGGCTACTCCCCGTCCCCTGGTTGTAGCCGATTGCCGTTTTCCTGGTTCTTCTTACACCCTCTTGCAGAATGTTCACTTGATCCACACTTAAAGCAATGGTCACATACCTGTTCACCACACTGTTTACATGAATCACATTGACCTTTCCTTTGCTTTTGTCGACTGTGCGATTGTCCATTATCAGCTCCCCCTGACTTTGTTGTGACCGGTAGAATGCTTCCTTTAACGATGCCAAATCAGTTTGTACCGATTCCAGAGTTGCAGTCAACTTGTTTTTATCTTCGTCTGTCAAATTCTTCTTCGACTTTGTGCTTTTTTTCTTACTGGCAGGGTCTTCACTGTCGTTTCGACTTGCCCAACCAGGTTCCTGGTTAGTCACCACTTGATTAACCTGAGCACCTTTCTTGACTCCAGCCATCTTCTTTTGTCGCTCCGTTTCTCGTCGTGAGGCCACAAATTTCCGACTCTAGCTTCAGCTGTAACACTTCAATTTCCTCGTCAGCTTCTGCCATAGCGAATTATCAAAAGATCACACAACGTACACGCAAGAATCCCTTACAAACACGACCAAATGTTACTTATATTTTTCGAAAAATTCGTAGTGTTTACTTTCCAGTACCAACACCGTCACATTCAACAGAAAATCCGCATTTAACAAGCCTTCAAACCGTATTTTTACGACTAAAACGACAGAATATAAACCCGTACTCACGCCTTGACGAAATATATCCACATCTTTGCTTTCCAGTATATCAAATAGTAACACCGGTTAAGAAAGACAGAAAGTTAAATTAAACTTGTTTTATTCGCATAATTTCGCTTTAAAATATAAAACTAAATATTCACCCAAAGGCTATCGTTTCAACTTCGAGCATGCTACTCTCTTCACTTCCTGTCATGTGACACAACGGAACTAAGCTAAACTGAACTAAAGGGGGGAGGGGTAATATTTAAAAACCCTAAACGGCTATACTCCTCACATAAACACTGGGATGAGTTCAAGAAAGAACGAAACTTAGTCTCTCGTCTCGTCAAACAATCTCACAGTAGTTATCTGAATGACGTTATTGGCGCAAGCTTAGATACCAATCAAACGAAATTCTGGTCGTATTTACGCACAAGTAAATCTGAGAGCTCTGGCATACCTCCATTAAAATTCAACGACAAATTAAGTGTTTCTGATAAATCAAAAGCTGACGCCCTTAACTCCCAGTTACATTCAGTATATACGTATTCACCCGTGAGAATACTCCAATTCCAAATAAAGGTCAATCTCCATACACCTCCATCTCAGATTTGATCATCAACATCCAAGGTGCAGTTAAGCAACTCTCTGAACTTAACCCCAGTAAAGCCTGTGGTCTTGATGAAATCCCAACTAGAATCCTTAAAGAACTTTCTCCATCAATTTCGCACTGGCTTTGTTTCATTTTCCAACAATCCTATGACTCTGGTACACTTCCACCTGACTCAGAGGAGGAGTGAGGACTATACCGGCATGCAACGCGGTCAGGCGCGGTTTTTTACATATTATCGATTTCTCGCTCTGCGCCGTCATTGTTCGGTTGGCTTTCGCTGTGTTTACACCTCGAGGTTTCAAGAGATTCAGAAAAGATTTATAGAAAAAAATTGTAAAATGGTGAATTTTCGCACTATGCATGGAAAGAAAGCTTTGTTTTTGGGTAGACACGAGCTTCTGTGTGTTCTGAAGTGTGTTCACTGTGTATCAAAACAGCCTTTAATCCTAATTTCGGAAGGATTACCGTGTGATCATGATGAACTTGAATGTCGTGAGGTTCATGTTTATAGTTCTACGGATAGTTCGAAGAATAGTCCTTTGTCCAGCTGTGGTTAACGGGATAAAAATTGATGAAATTGTTCGCTGATTGCGGTAGTCCTGCACTGGTACAAATTCACTCTAGTTGTGTTTTTAAGGTGAGATGATTTTTATATAAAAATAGAAATATAAAAATGCTCCTATGTTGTATAAATACAGCAGTATTAAACGTATTTTTATTTCATATCATGTAGTTCTTCGACCCTAATGATCCACGGGAAGGAGGTATAAACGAAGAATATAACAATGTTATGTTGTTGGGAGTTTGACATTTCAACATCACCAACATCCCAAGTAATCCCACCATGTGACCCAGATAGTCAAGATGATGAGCTATTGAGCTGGACAGTGTACTTCCACCAATAGAATTACATCAGCCAACTGATTGTAGCTGTTTTAATTTACCAATAAATCCTGTTTGCCCTGACACACATTCATACACACCAAATGATGGAAGAAGCGCCCAGGGGTAGCATTGTTGTAGAGAATGAAATGGAGGAGATTCAGCACTATCACGACACTATATATAAATGTATTGACTACTGTGTGATGCATTGCAAGGATTTATACTGATCAACCAGTTATCTATGCTCAAATGATCAACCAGTTGTCTATTATTTTACTCTGCCTAACGCCAGATTATTTTACTGTCTAACACTAGACTATTTACTCATCAGGGGGAGAGTGCTGACACTCAAATACTCAATGGATTAAAAAACATGGAAAGAAAATGTTTAGCAGAAGCTGCAAAATTGTTTATTGGTGTCTGGTGTAATACTGACATTTCTTTTATTTGTAAGGGTAGAGCTGGGGAACCTGTAGTGGTACAGTCTTGGCCCTACCCGGTTTTCCTGTACTGCATGTGTTTTC